ACAATAAGTCAAAGTTTGGTGTCACTGAAGCCAACTAGAGTTACTAGGATATACCTGAAACAGCAGTCTTTGAAAACACATGTTTCCATGGTAGAGCGCTTATGTTCTTCATATGTTCATTTTGTCTATAGTTCATCAACTTACATGAACCCTTTTTTTATCATACTTATGTAATAATATGTGCATAATAATTTATCGTTCGGTTCTTATACTTTAGTCAAATACATTGTCCAGGACCTAAAGTTAAACTCAAGTCAGAAGTTGGGTACAATTTTCATTCCCTGTAACCTCACTTACCTGTAACTCCCTCCTTTCCCTCATACCCCTAATCCTTTTCAAGTTTTCCTACATCCTCCCCCATTCTTCTCTTCCCGACTTACTAGTCTTGTGGTCTTGAAACTGCGAAACTGCTTCCTACTGCCTGATTGGTTTGGTGTTAGGTTTAACGCCTGTCAACCACGGGATACGTAACATCGGCACCACAATTGCTTACTGATCAATCAGAAAGCTTTAGTCACGAGAAGTATATCGCATTTTTCGATGTATATACACTGAGAGTTTACAGAGTATATACACTGAAAGTTTACAGAGTATATACACTGAGAGTTTACAGAGTATATACACTGAGAGTTTACAGAGTATATACATTGAGAGTTTACAGAGTATATACACTGAGAATTTACAGAGTATAAACACTGAGTTTATAGATTATATACACAAAGTTGTGGACTATGTTTACTAAAGTAAACTGTGTATATACACCGAAAAATAGGGTATACTTCTCGGTATATATATATTCCTGTGGTCCTACACATTTAAAAATAGTTTGAATATTTCAAACGACTGGTGCAAAAAATGTATACATTCAATGACTATGCAATATCTTTCTTTTGTAATATTATCAATAATTTTGACCATCATAATAATATTAACTTTGTAAGCTGTTTATTATATAATTTTCCTTGTTACTGTTGAGTTACAATAGCGTGTATTCCTTCATGACAAAATGTATCAATTACCGTTTGTTCATCCTCTAACACGGCTTTTTTATGCAAACAAGTTTCAGAACTGATTCAGAATGCTTCACAAAATCAGTCGAAGTCTGGACAAATCGTATACAACGTTAGCCGGCACGTCAGCCGGCTATCAGCTTAGGTTAGACTACGTTAGGCTCAGTTGTGTTAGATTAGGCTAGGTTGGGTAAGGTTAGATAGGTTTTAAAATCGATTGGTAAACCGTCTAATTTACGATGACTTGTATCCACTCAGTCACTCCTGGTAGGGGAATGAATGGCCTGTGTTGTTACATAAACACTTGGTGGCGCTATCATTAATGGCTTTTATACTAAGACCCTGCACTAAAGTTTCAAGATCAAATGATCGGTATTAGAATCAGAAGATCAGTATTAGATTCAGAAGACTAATATTAGATTCAAAAGATCAGTATTAGATTCAAAATATTAGTATTGCATTCAGAAAAATATTAGATTCAGACCAGAATTAGATTTAGATTAGTATTAGGTTCAGAAGATCGGTATTAGATCTCAATGGTTCTGGCTCACGTATCTTTTGTATCACAAGGAATGAAAAGATATTTGTTACTTGCGTTTGTGTTAATAAGATCGCCATGTTTCTGATTTCTTCAAGTAAGGAAATAAGTAATGTTAATGCAGAATGATATGTCTAAATAAGTTTCGTCCTGTGACGTAGTGGTCCAGCGTCCTCAACCCCACTCTCCTAGCAACGACCAGAGTTCGAACCCTCAGTAGGGCGCGATGCCTGGCCACACTCTGTTCACTCAGTAGTAATTGAGGATCTAAGGCTAAAGAGATTATCGGATCACGTTATGGGTTAAATAAGGCAATGAATAGCTTAATCGGTCCCTGGCTTCAGGCTTAAATGCTAACATAAAAAATTTAATATATAATTTTATTTTCTCCAGGTCTCTCGAGGCATCTACCATGTAATCTTCCTCTACCGGCGTCTCCCAATTCTGGGTTTCTGTTATAATGTATTTACTATAGTTAGCCTCATTGCATTACCACTTACAATTAGTTCAATTTATTACTTTTTCATTGATTTATCCCATTTCGTGAAAGCTTCTGTGTGATCTTTTTTCTGCCATTTTTAATTACTTTGTTTAATAAACCATCTCATAATTTACGCTATCTTTCATAAGGATCTTTGCTGTTGATATTGCGTTATCTTTTATTTCCGTCCTATTATATTCTATTTATTATATATTACACGTATTCGTTGGTACAGACATAATTTGAAACCTAAAATTAAGTATATGTTTAAGACCAGAAATTATTAATCAAGAGAATAGCTAGGGAGAAATTGGTGATATTAGTTCATGTTTTTTTTTTTTTGTTGGCGTCTGTGTGTGTGATTTGTTGTGTACTTCAGGCCTGGGAGGGCTGAAGGTGGGGCTGGTTAGAGATCTCTGCCAAACTCTCTCTCTCTCTCTCTCTTTTAACTAAGACTAGGGTTCATAAAAGCTGAGATAAATGACTGTCTCTCTCTCTCTTTCCCTCCCCGTCTGAATCTCTCCCTCTCTCTGTCTATCTTTCTCACTCTGTCTCTTTCTCGCCCTCTCTCTCTCTCTTTCTCTAAAAAAATTGTATTATATATAAAATATTAAATATTGTTGTTTGTTGCTAACAATAAATGCCTCGTTTGTTCAGAGGCAAAAATGTACGGCAGTTTGCAATAAAGGTTTAAAAGCGCCATTGAAAGTGTTTGAAATCCTTATCAAACCCGACAGTACCGTAAGTCCATAGCCCGTGCTACTTGGAACTTAAGTTCTGACTTGTTGAATCTAAAACAACAACAACAACGTATTAATATCTGAATCAGAGTCACAAGATTAAATATTAGTCTTGGAAAATTCTTAATAACATTTCTCGTTGTTCTATAAATCTATCCAGCTCCGAGCCACAATCTCTTGCAAGGCATGTGTAACTCATTAAAGAACTTACAAGTTTCTCCTTCAAATTATCTTGATTCTGCATGTATGATGCAGAAAAATATAAATTTGCTAAATTTAGCAAATTTAGTCTCTTGCTAAATAGTCTTATGGTGTTGAACACCTTTTGACGATTACTTATAAACAAAACAAAATCCATCTTAATGAATACACTTTTATAACTGTTACGTCTTCGTGTGGGGTATAATGGTATATTATCGTCAAGGAATTAAACTGCTAGAGTTTAATGAAATCTAGCAACTTGCCCACACATCAGTTCACACTAAAATAGTGGAAAGAGCTCTCCAATGGTACTAGTTGGAATATGAGTCCCCCACCCTGGTGGGTGCCGGCTAGGCTCCAGAATGATACCTCACAAATCTACCTGTAATTCTAAGAATGATGGCAGCCTCACCAGGCCCACAGTATAATAATTAGTAATTTAACAATAACTATTTTATTTACAAATACCGCACCCTTGTAATAAAGTTCCGACTCTCGAAGGTAACTTCATTGGCCTCTACGCCCCTTGTAATAGGAACATGGACTTACATAAGGCAATTAAATAATATTACACTGGTGCCCAACTGACCGTTACACTCTTGCAAAGCCTTTTAGAAGACACTAAATGGGTTTGCAAGTTGCATTAACAAGTACCAAAGTATATATACATAGAAAAGGTGGCAGTACTAATAGAAAAAAAAGACTTACTGACCATTAAGGTTGCAGCTCAAAGTACTGCACCTCCCACTGACCCATCTCAACTCCAATTGAGTATTTTCCCTGCTGCCCGGCAGTTTCACAAAAAAACTCTCATACTGCAAACGTCCTATTCTTTAAGTAAACTTTGCCAATTATAATATAAATATCATATAAATTAATAATCCTACTGGTAATGTAATATTTAATTACTTAACAACTATAAAGTCTAAAACATAGCCAGTAGTTCACATACTCACAAATAATCATGTTCCCGGCAGCGCCGTAACACCCAGAAGTCGCTCAACGGACAGATGAAATATTAATTTAATAGTCTCTGTTAAGGTCTGATAAAGACCTCTTGTGTCCTCTGTAATTTTATTTGCGCTACTGCCCACAGGATGAGTATGGGGTGCACAATAAACTAGCCGCCTCCGGCAACAACAATAAAAAACAATAAGTCTAAGACCCTAAAGCTAACTTACGTTAACCCTAAGAGGGTTAACCTACAAGAATAGGCCAATGGAACTAAACCTCATAACCCTAGAGTTTACAAAGAACAGAGTCGATATGATCACAACATACAAGGTAATGAGTGGAATAGATAAGGTGAACAAGGATAGCCTCTTCAAATTGAAAGAATAAGACAAGAGGACAAAGAGGAAGCTGGAAACGTAAGTAAGTGGAAGGAATGTAAGGAAGTACTCATACCCCGTATGGGTGGTCAAGTGGAATGCACTGAAAGAAGTTGTGGAAACCACCTCCAGCCACAAGTTCAAGTACGTTTAATGAGACAATAAAATAAGTCTCAAAGAGATAGAGTAGCTTAGGCTATTTCTACCCTCCTCCATCCACCAATAGTTAAGTTGTAACGTAACAGGTACAACTGGGCTAATAGGCGAGGCATAAAGAGCTAGACCTCACTGCATTTTGTCAAGGAAGTGAACAAGCAAAACAAACAAATAAAGTTGGGCAGAATATTTCATAGACAGAACAAAATATACATATTACAGAACCCAAGAGTGTGGCGAAGAAGTGCACCAGCCGATATAAACTAGTGCCAGGACCCAGGAGCCGAAGCTAAGCCCCCATAAACACATATACACGAGTGCACACACGCTAGAGGTTTCAATAGAAAATTACCGTACCATCAAGTAGGCCATCTCTGTTATCTGTTCAACATTACTGATAAAAGAACCATTTAAATTTCTATGGTATTTAATATTGCCGCATATGATTCTTTTACATAAAACTACATGTTCCATGTGTTGTGGAGGCTTGTTATCGGTCTCCTTATCTTCTTATCTTAACCGATAAGGCAACCAATCACCTATGCTGGCATCGTGTCACTGCCAGACACTCTTTACAATTCGACACAGTTATTGAGTGGCCCTAGTCCCAACAGAAGGAGTTAAGTGTGCAGTATTTGTAGCAGTGAGAGGAAGTCAGCACACGAGGCTGAAGGCTAGCGAGAGTGGAAGGTGTTCGTGGAGGAGGACTAGGCTAGAAGGGAGCGGTATTTCTGGAACACGGAAAACCAGGTCCCCAGGAAAGAATTTAATGACAAAAACGAATCTACAGAGTGGTGGACTTTTGTCAAGTAAAGACAGCTTAAAAGTAAGGATCAGTTGCGCAGCTGTGAGAGCTAGGCTTCGGGAATACGAACATTAGACGAATGGCAACAAAAGGAACGAAGAGGGAATTTGTTGAAGCAAAGATAGTGCTCGGAATTTAAGAACGTTCGAAGTAATAAGAGTGATTAACATTTAAGAACTCTTGAAATAATAAAAGTGATCAGCATTTAATTAAGAACTCTTGAAATAATAAAAGTGATCAGAATTTAATTAAGAACTCTTGAAATAATAAAAGTGATCAGCATTAAGAACTCTTGAAGCACTGAGAGTGATCAACGTTTAAAAGCTTATTCGAAATGGACTAAACAACAAAACGCATATCGTCATGGACTGACGTACACTGTACTATAAGGAACGGAACCACTGAAGAAGGTTCTGGCAAAACGGTGAGACACAGAATCAAATCTCTTCAGAGAGGAACTGAAACCCGAGAACCTTCACTCATCCTTTATCATGAGCTATACTGGACGAGCTTATCGAACAGGTAAACTATTTACCCATAAATTATAATTACCTGATATTTATTTCGTGCACCTTTTGGTTACAGTATCCCATTGTCTGGGACAAAAAAATATAGGACAACAATTTACCTTCGCCAGAATGCAACCCACAACAGTTACCTATCTCCTATTTGTACCCAATCAGTCCCACTAATGTACTTGTCCAGCTGATGTAATAGTTGTTATTACGACTTTATTTTAAGTTAAAATAATTACAGTAACTCTGTAAACTAACTCGACTGTAAATTTACAAACATTTATGAATAAAACATTTGAATTGAAAATTGAATTTCAATTTAATTGAATTTAAATTTAATTAAAATTCAATTTAATTGATTTTTCTTACCTCTAGGCAAGAAAATCATCATTCATCACCTCTAGGCTTTATTCCTCTTCCTGATTCTTCCTTTTTATGTCAAACTTTGTTATCGTTTAACAGCCTCCTTTCCCTGCTGGGACCAACGCCAGATATGGCAAGGTCTGTGAAGGAACAATAGAGAAACTATGTTCATTATCTTATTTTACTCTCTCTTTGCTTTCCTTTGTTAGTAATATACCACCCTATGCTCTCTCCAACCCATTCTCGCACTTGCTTACTGTCAATATTGGCTTATTTAATAAGTGCATATGTGACATATTAATTGATTGTGAATATTTTAGTTTACCTTGAAAAGCTTCATAGAAAACACCGACCTTACCTAACCTTCTTAGTATGTTAAGATAAGCATCTTATTGCTTCGTAATTACAAATATTACTTAACCTATTATGCTCTGTCTGTCGTGGGGTTCCCCTATCTATCACTCTTAACCATCGCCAGGATTCTTGGCAGGTGATTCTTCTTTAAATGTATTTGAATTTCGGCAGGATTCCGGCCCGCCTCCGCGGAGGAGGACGAGGAGAGAATGTACCAGGCGCGCTACGACTACGAGGCGGCCAGGGAAGGAGACTTAAGCTTTACGGGAGGTGACGTACTGGAGGTGATCGGCCCTACGGTGGGCACCTGGTGGCTCGCCCGCAACACTCGCACCGGCAAGGAAGGCTATATTCCCTATAACTTTATCAAGAGGCTGTAAGTATCCCACGCTTCAAGACGACGGCTTCGATGCCGGTATCTATAGACATGTCATGGTGCGTTAGTTTAGCGTGTTTAAATGTTCGTTTCTCTGTTCGCTAAACCAGCGGTTGCCAACCTTTCGGACATTATGGACCACTAAATTCATAATTTTAAATCCCACAGACCACTAAAAGGATTTTTTTAAGATAAATACATTTGTAAAATAATGAGGAAAGCACTTCCATTTTATTAACATGAAATGCACCTATTTAATATAACAAAATTATAAATTATTATTTAATTCTAACAAAATTATAAACGCTTATTTAATCAACAAAATGTTTAAAGGTTGTTTATTTGTAACAAAATTATTAAAGTTAGTTTAATTATTACAAAATAATTGAAGCTTATTAAAGTATTACACATTTTTAGTGTGATATTTGTTCCTACTTGTTTGAAAGACGTTTATGGATCTGAAGTTCTGTCAGAAAAGAAGCCTTTAATAAGGACTTATTTCCAACAATCTTTTTTGTTAAAGCAGTTACTTGATTTTGCATATATTTGTATACATTCTTGGAAAGTATTCAAGTGGTTTCGTAGCTAAATCTGAGTGTTTTGATTGCAAGTGTCTTTCGAGATTGGAAGGTTTCTTGGCATTATTGGATAAACTCTCAGAACACAACTGGTATATATGCGGCCGTGGATGCAGCTCACTACCAGGTTCTTTAATATAACCAAATTTCAAGTACTTCGAATCATATTTTCTTGGTATTTTGAGTTTTTTCTTCTCTCCGCTTCCTGTTGGAATGTTCTTGCTAATGGCGACTGACGAGGACTGTGAAGGCTTTGAATCATTGGTCAGCTCACGGTTAAGTCAAGTACACATATTACTATTGTTACTATTAGCATTAGTTACATTATATTTTGTAGTGTTAAAGAAATGCAAAATATTCCTTTGCTTTTTTTCCTCTCATTATAGGTTTATTGCATTCGAATGTGCGGGTTTAGGGCAGAGACCGCTGCCCTAAGTTTGTTGTTCTCTTGACAGTGGTCGCTCTGTTTACCAGCCTGTCAATCACGTCACTCAACTTAGTGATAGCAAACTGTGTTGTATATTTATATTGACAAACTACTGTCAATAGCCAGTACTCGACACGTGTTAGTAGGAGATTAGTTAGTTTGCAGATGACTATATCTTGTTATTCTATAATGTTAGATATATTTACTTTTATCCTAAACATGGTATCTGAACTCCTTAGTTTTTATCGTTATTTTAAACATGGACTAATTCTAGGCTGTTTTCATGTTTAGTCTTATGACAGCACAATGTAATTAGTGCCTCCTTGAGAGTGCCACCAACTGGGCTTTATTTGGGACAGTAATAACTTACCCACGACGCCCCCAAAATTGCAGTCTTAAAGGTTACATTGATGTGATTTACATTTTCTTTCTTGTCCTAAAAAGTCAATTTACCATCATCTTGCTAGTCTCTATTGTTAACTTGACGATGTTGTTATTATTATTATTATTATTATTATTATTATTATTATTATTATTATTATTATTATTATTATTATTATTAATAACAACCACTTTATTTTCATTTTGTTTCAGAGCTGATAGAAGAACTTCGGGTAAGGAGAAAGAGAGAGAGTGGAGTAGAAAGGTGAACAGGGTGGGAAAGGAGAGAAGAGGGAGGATTAGGACGAATAGAGGGAAGAGAGGTGAAATAGGGAAAGATTGGGAGAAAGAGAAAGAAATGGGAAACGGGGAAGAGAAAGTATGAGAGGGGAGGGGGAAGAGAGAGGTTGAGAATAACAGGAAAAAGGAGAGGCTGAAATTGATAGAAAATAGGAGAGGGTGAGAATGACAGAAAATGGGAGTGGTTGAGTATGACAGAAAATAGTAGTTTAATTTTGTTGTGAATAGAATAACAAGTTTTATGAATTTTATTGGAAAATTCATGATTAATTCCACTGGTTGCTGGGGCTGAGCAGCAGCGCCTCCACCCGAGACTGGCAAGGTGTTCACAGCACATCGTGACTACAAGGCCACCTTTCCCAGTGCACTTTCCATCAAGAAGAATGACAAGATCGAGGTGCTGAAGGAGAAGGACGAGATTTGGGTGTGGGGTCGCGAGTTGGTGAGCAATCTAAAGGGCTTGGTACCTCGCTCCTTCCTCATTCAGGATAACCCTATCACTGATGCATTGTGAGTCTCTCTTTATCTTTCTTTCCTGTTATATCAAACTTGTGTATGAATGATAGCAGTTTTAATAAATATCAAAGATTTTTTTTTAATGTCAAACGTTTACTGGGATGAGAGAGATAATCCCACCTTTTATATATATAAGAGCTGGTCCCACCTTTTATATATATAAGAGCATATATAAGAGGTGGTCAGAAAAAGCACTGTACTTTAAACACAATGATGGGTGTCAGGTATTATTAGTAAAAACAGTAATAGTTAAATATTAGGCAAGCAATTTAGTAACTGGGTGATGTGTGGGTTGTCAGGTGGTACTATGGCACAATCAGCAGGGAGAGAGCCGAGGCCCTCCTGCTGCTGCCACACAATCAAACTGGCGCCTTCCTCATCAGAGACTCATCCCAAGGCTCTGCGGGATACAGTCTCTCAGGTGGGTATACTCTACTCTGGCGGGTGAGTGACTAGTCCTTTCAGGTGAGTATGGCAATACTCGCTTTCCGGTGAGTGACGTGGCAGCCCTCTCAGATGAGTGACTTGGTTGTACTCCCTCTATGTCTTGGGTAAAAGATGCCTGATAACCTAAATTTACCATATGTACTAGAGAGAGTCGACTGTTGTGGGTCGCTTCCTGGTGGATGGTCAATCATTCGTTACGGGAACATCACTGAATCAAACAAGCTTTATTATTTTTGGAGATTGTGGTAAAGTATCTCAAGGTACCATTACCGTGCCTGCCTCCTCCACCCAGTCCAGGCGGAATGTACGGCAACCCGAAGACAGAGCGGGTTGCCGTAATGGACACATGACAATTTTACGTGAATAAGCACATCATGAAGTGAATGTTGCATATGACACCTCCTTTCAACAGTGATGTAACATAAATGTCTTTTTTTAAATAAGAGTAGGGTTCATAAGGCCAGTCAGTTGACATACCTAATGAAACTGCAAGCAAGAGCTGTTATCCTACCTCAGCTCATCTGAAGTCTGCTACTAGAGATTTGTTTATTTCATGAGAATATACATTGAAACTATCACATTGAAAACTATCATATAAGGAACCTGGTAAAACTGCAAGAAAGAGCTGTAATCTTGGTTACATAATGTTGTGGATAATGTATTTGTTCTGCTTGTTGTTTATATTGTATATATTTGATGTATATTCCACAGTGCGGTACGAAAGGGTGGTGAAGCACTATCTGATACATATGAACACAGATGGACGTATCTATATCTCACAGAATGATGTGTTCAAAACCATTACTGAACTTGTTCACTATTACCAGAGCAACAGTGGTCTCTGTACCATGCTCGGTATGCCTTGCAAGGTAGGTCTCTCTCTCTCTCTCTCTCTCTCTCTCTCTCTCTCTCTCTCTCTCTCTCTCTCTCTCTCTCTCTCTCTCTCTCTCTCTCTCTCTCTCTCTCTCTCTCTCTCTCTCTCTCTCTCTCTCTCTCTCTCTCTCTCTCTCTCTCTCTCTCTCTCTCTCTCTCTCTCTCTCTCTCTCTCTCTCTCTCTCTCTCTCTCTCTCTCTCTTCTTTTTTTAAAACTAAGATTTGGGTATATAAGGGCTGTCAAATGACATACCTAGTGAAAGTGCAAGCAAGAGCTGTTATCCTGCCTCAGCTCAATTGAAACCTGTTATTAGAGACCCATTTATTTCATGAGCATATTAGATGCATCAATAGGAATAATAATTCTCTCTCTCTCTCTCTCTCTCTCTCTCTCTCTCTCTCTCTCTCTCTCTCTCTCTCTCTCTCTCTCTCTCTCTCTCTCTCTCTCTCTCTCTCTCTCTCTCTCTCTCTCTCTCTCTCTCTCTCTCTCTCTCTCTCTCTCTCTCTCTCTCCCCACAGAACGAGCCCCCGCCGGTGGAGATGGTTGAGGGCCAGTGGGAGATTGACCGCACGCTAATAGTGCCAACAGGGGAGGTGCTTGGAGAGGGCCAGTTTGGCCAGGTCTACAAGGCCCTCTGGAAGAAGATTACCCCCGTCGCGGTGAAGGAGATGAAGCACGGTGAGTAGGGGGTTGTAGGTGGTGTCTTGTAGAGGGGGGGGACGTGGGTGGGTGGTAGAAAGGTTGTAGGTGGGAGTTATAGACGAGGGGCGGTGGGTAAGAGGTTGTAGGGGAAGGTTTTAAGTGGGTGTTGTAGGTCAGGGTTGTATGTTGGGTGTAGGAGAGTGGTTGTTGGTGGGTGGTTGTAAGTGGTGGATGTAGATGGGTGAATGTAGGTGAATGATTGTAGGTGGGTGGTTGTGGGTTGGGGAATTGTGGCTTCAGGTGACGTGTAGCAGGTGGGTGACTACACACACAGATATTAAGTGTTAGGTTAAAGCCATTAGTGAGTGCGGACGCTGTTGACGATGCCGCAGGACCACGCTACCGAGGCCGCTACAAGCCACGACTCAACAAGTCAATAAACTATCAACCAACACTCGCTCAGTGTCGGCGTTCACGACCATATTTTCTTATATGCTATCCCCCCTGCTATCTTATCTTACTCAAAGATATATATAACACCTTCACGTTCCAGTTTTTAAAACAACGTGAATTCATTGTTTTAAGAAATCTTTTTTCTGGCTGCTCTTTTTTCCATCCGGAATGACCAACAAAATAAAGGAGCGTGTCATTTTATCAACTTAAAATGGTTGATAAAGTTATCAACTATTATAATAAGTCTTGTCAAGCACCTAATCTTAACCATCTTGTAACAGCCTTGTTCTCGCTTGCTTCCTTCACCAGATTGCATGAACCTGAAAGAGTTCGAGCGCGAGGCTGAGACGATGCAGCGCCTTCGTCACCCTCGTCTGGTGAAGCTCTATGGTATATGCACCACGCCGGCCGGCCAGCCCCTCCTCATCGTCACAGAGTTCGTCCCGAACGGCTCCTTGAAAGAACTTCTTTTGAAATACAACAGTGAGTTTATAGTTAGCTCTCTCTCTCTCTCTCTTTCTTTCTTTTTCTCTATCTCTCTTTCTTTCTCATACCATACCTTTCTGAACATTCAAAGTTGTCATCATCATTTCTGGGTGTGTATAAACTTAGTATACATACACCGAGACATGTGGTATACCTCGCGGTGTATATATATATATACGTTCGACTCAAGGAGAGCAGACCCCCGGGTGAAGGAACTGTGAGGATAATCTTGGGCATTAGCAATTACATTATTTTCTTATGTTAGGCCCGTAGGAAAATTAGGATTTTATCGTTGTCTTTGTCTTGTTTTGAATATCATTCATATACCCCTGACGGTTATTGTATTGGTCGTAAATGGTTCCATTTTGACAGAATAGTTTTATACAACAGCCTTTTTGATTTAGTAGTACACTACATACAATGTTTAATATATTGTTTAATTGATTTACTTTCCACCTCATATGTTCTGTAATCCGTGGTTGTGTTATATCACGCAAGTAGTAGGCATCCATCAGTCTCAGAAGACTATGGAGTTGGAAACTATGGCAAACTACCTTAGTAATTACCACCAACGATGGCATCACTGAGAGCCTGGTAAAACAACAAATGACAACCTTGTAACAACTATATTACGTCGAGCTGTCACCTCTCGTCGGTGATGGAGCCAGTCGTAACATCCTTTACAAGTTTCTGTCCTTCTCTCTCAAGTTCATGTCCCTCTGCAGGAGCCGGTACCCCGCTTGACCCTTGCACTCTGGTGTCGATGTCGGAGCTGGTGGCCTCGGGCATGGCCTACCTTGAAGGAGAGAAGGTGATCCACCGTGATTTGGCCGCCAGGAACATCTTGGCTGGGAGAGACATGCAGGTCAAGATTGCTGACTTCGGCTTGGCCAGGTTTATCAAGGTGGGTCCTCATGACGAAGGTCAGGCTTCTTAGCAGTAGCAGTTGTTGCAATAGTGGTCTTGGTGTCGCTATAACTGCGGCTTTAAACTTCCGTGATGGTGAATGCCGTCCTCGGAAAAACTGGGCTAAACAACAGTTTTTGGTATTTAGTCTAAGTTTATTAAAGGGTCATATGAATATTTCAAAGTAAAGTCATGCTGTTTATTACGCATATCTCTTTTGAAAACTGACAGATGTCTCTTTCAAACCCTTGCACCCATCTCGGCCACTGTCTAGTACTCTTTCATCCAGTCCATCCTCCTGTTTTGATAGTACTTATGGGAACGATGTGAACCGTCGTACATATATTGACATAATGGACACTTTGAAAATAAAATTTGGTACTATTGAATTTGGACAAACCGGAAAAGATTTTGTATTTATGTTGCTAATAAAACCTAACCTATCCATCTTAGGCCTAATATAGTGCATATATGTGGTATACTACGCCTAGGAATACTTAAGTTTAGATTTTATCTTTATTTTTTCCGGACTATAAAATGAAAAATAGAAAATTCTATTATCTAATTGTCCATTACGTCAATATATGTCCGATGGTTCACATGGTTGCAATCAACAGGAGGATGGGTTGTAATGCTTCACTATCTGGAGCCACACCGGTGTCCGACAGCTGTCCACGAAAGTATGTATTGTACTACTGATTAGTTGTATTAGTTCCTTCTATAGTGGTTGCTGACTAGGACTGCGCTTATAATACTCTAAAATTATTGAAAAACATTTAGTTATCAACCATTTATTTCAGTTAATGAAGTTCAATTTTCCGTGTATTTTTGGTTAGTAGCCTAATGTTTTACTAAAATAATGTACAGCCTAATGTACATTATTTTGCGTCGACTGATAACGTCGAAATCCTTTTGGTCTTGCAAAGTGAACATTGATCTGGTATTTGGCTTGTGGAACTATCATTTAGTAGTTAATCTTGCAGGAGAGATAGAAGAACATTGTAAAATTCACACAGCCCACACGTAGCTTTTAAACTACGAATCATCACATTTTCAGGATAAAGAGGAAACACAAGACTCATTACATATACAAAAATTCGAAACAAACTGATATTTCAAAACCGACAGGCAAAAACCGACTTTTTGCCGACAGGAAGACTTCTACCTGCGCCGCTCTGATATAAAGTTCCCGGTGAAGTGGACTGCTCCCGAGGCGCTGGTCAACAACCTCTACACCACCAAGTCCGACGTGTGGTCCTTCGGCATCCTTCTCTACGAGATCTTCACGCACGGTGGCAACCCTTACCCAGGTACTGGAATTAAGTCTTGAGAAACAATTATCGTGTGAATTTAGCCTTTATACAGTTTGAGTTTCTTTAGACTTTTAGTTATGTAGGCATGGTGTACCTCCTCTTGTCTTGTAATTCTTGATAGTGTTTTTTTTCACTTTTGCACCTTAGGAGAGTTTTCTTGTTGTTCTGTATCTTGTCGATTGTCTTAGCCCAAAATGACTTTAATTATCAGTTCTTCCAATGTTCTCTCTAATTGTTCGTCAAGCAGCTTACCAGACATAATTTTCTATTAAATGTTTGGTGGAGTTTGCTTGTCCTTGTGTCCCGGCACCTTTACCATATACAGTAAGGTTCCTGTTTATTAGATTCTATACTGGGCAGCTATCACGGTAAATCTATCTTACCCCAGGACAGGTATCACGGTAAATCTATACTACCCCAGGGCAGGTGCCACGGTAAACCTATACAACTCCAGGACAGGTGTCACGGTAAACCAACAATAATACTATACTGCAGGTGTCTGTACTGTAAACCAACAAGACTATCCCGAGGCAGATGTCAAGGTAAATCATCCACAATATTCTGGCAGGTACGAGGGGAAAGGAAGCGAGAAACCTCATCCAGGATGGAACTCTGAACCGCCAGCCATCTGGTTGTCCGGATGAGGTCTACAACATTATGAGGAACTGCTGGCAGATGAACCCTCACAACCGGCCCAACTTCCTCGAACTTAGGAACCTGCTCAACAGGGTCAAACAACGGCTGTAGATATTATAGGACAGGCCCTGCGGACCTTTGAGACGCGACGCTCGGTTGGACCAGCAGAAGTCCGCCATATTCCAGAGTTGGGTGTCGAGGATGGGTGTCTACATGACTCTTATCCGAGGCTTCCAATCACAATATTCTTTTTACACCATTAAAGAAGTTTACTAAAATTGTACATATAGCAAAACAACATTCAATACACTTACACTACGTAAATAAACTAGATTCGTTTAAAACATTGAATATAATTTTAGTTACTTATACATGTATTAATGATGCTGTGATTCGAGGCTTCTTGCGTTTTTCATGTAGACACTGAACATAAGACATGAACATATATGAATTGTTTATTTATCAAAAGGGATCTACATATATGTTTCTAGAAAACTTTACTGAATTTGTGAAGGGTCTCTTGAAATATTAGGATCCGATTCTCATTAGGATCAGATTCTCCTCGGGGATACTGAGACTCCCATGGGCTAAAAAATATCCAATAAAAAAATGCCAAATAATTTTGCAATTTTGTGATTCTTTTTAGTAAAGAAATTGGCCTATGACATTGGCATGTTAATTATGAATATAAATTTAAAAAGGATAAAACATAGGCCTTAGTTGTAGATGATGACTTAGAATAAAATCTAGAAGGTTCCTGTTCGTATGTTTAGACTAAAAGTATTTTTGCTGGTTGGTCAATGGTCAACAGGTGGCCTTAAAATAACCCTCCGCGGTTAATCGGCCTTAGGCCCAAACCTAAACAGTGTTCCCTAGCAAATTATATTTTGGAAGCAGCTGCTGCCTGAAGCCCACATAAAAAGAATTACGTCTGCCGCATACGCCAGGCTGGCTAACATCAGAACAGCCATCAGGAACCTGTGTAAGGAATTATTCAGAACCCCGTATACCACATATGTAAGACCAATCCTGGAGTATGTGGCCCCAGCATGGAGCCCGTACCTTGTCAAGCACAAGACGAAGCTGGAAAAAGTTCAGAGGTATGCCACTAGGCTAGTCCCAGAACTGAGAGGCTAAATACAAACACAATGTTGGATTTCTAGATAGCGCTATTACATATTATGCCTAACAAATACGCACAGCGTTTCGGGAAAAATCTATAAGGTAGATTAATCTACAAAATAAACTAATCTATAATACTCTATAGTTATAACATACATTAAAAAACAGCTTGTATCACGGCTCCCGACGTGTGAACCTGACCGGCACCACACCCAACAATTATATATCGCGCTCAGTGATCATCTATAAAAAAATAACAGCTTGATGGTTAAATGCAACCTCAGAATACTGAGAAAAAAAATTGTACCACTTACGGGCTATTCATGTCCGTGCCACCTCTTGGGTGGCTTAATCTTTATCAATCAATCAATCATCTATAAAGGTTGTTATCTTTATAATTTGATCCTTTAAGTATTATTATCATCTTTTATCATTATTGCTAAATATCTAAAACAAGATTGAGTGGAAATGGAAATAAATATACAAATGTTATTTTTAATTTGAATTTATATATATTTATCACATTTTTAGTGTGTAATGAACCTAATGACTAATTACAATTATTCCTAGAAATAAAATATGTTTTGAAAAGACTAATTTAAATAGTATGCAATAAAAGGTTAAAACAAAACAACGTTGATGAGTGAGACGCTTATTATCTACAAGGTATTGAAATTATCAGGAGAAAGCGCTAGCCCCGTAGGACTATAGCACTTGGAAGGGATCAGGATAAGGATTTAGGAAAGAACGGAGGAAAGGAATGGTGGCCAAACACTTGAAGGGTTGGGGATTGAACGCCGACTTGCAAGAAATGAGACCACCGCTCTACCGTCCAGCCCAAGTGGTTGGGTTTATTATCTACAAATAAAAGCTTATTGTTGATCTTTGTTTTTGCTGACATAAAATACCAATATAATAAATGCACCAATATTGAGTTCAAGACAAAATAAAATGTTTGTCAATGATGCTTAAAACAGTAAATGTATGCATGTGTATGTTATGATTACTCCTGTAATCATAATTACAGGAGTAGTATACATACCAGTGATACCAATGTAACACTCTCTCTCTCTCTAATCTCGTTGTGTTTACATTCTCAATTGCTTTATTTAGTTAATCTGTTGAGGACACTAATATCTTAAAGGAGGATTAATTTCCTTTTTACGGACTGCTATAATGTCTTTCACCTGCTGTATGAGTGATCAGCTGCCACCTGTTTCATGTCAAAACCACTATTGGAAATTTATCATCAGCAATAAAGCCAGTTTCAAAGTTTCACATTTCAATAGTTAAAAAAATTATACATGTAATACACTTAGAAAACGGGAATTTCTAGCAAGTTTGCCATTAATGGCAATGTTACAAATCTCTTGTTACTTTGCCGGCAAGATCAAGTCAATTTTTTTTTAGAAAGTTTCTCCATTTCTTTCTTCAATTCGGCAAAGTTCAGGCGAAGTTCAGGCTTATCCAACCAGCACTTAAACATGATTTCGTAGAGCGCCTGGGGACAGGACGGAGGCTTGGGCAGGCGGTAGCCCTTGTTGATCATGGTCACTGTGGTCTTGTTGTCCATCTCTGGGGTTGAAGGAGGAATGGGGTTAGTGGCTGCCTGACACTGGGGCTAAAAACTGACGGATAGATGCGTTAATGGTTTTGTATACACACTGGAATGTGTTTCACCTCAAGGAGTGTATTTTCAGATTTGATGGCAGACGAAATGAAGCTTTCACATAAAAAATCTATGTAAACAAAATGTCTACACAGCCAGGTAAATTCCTATCAGCGGCGCTGACCTACGAGGACGAGTTAATCATTAATCAGTACAAGAATGTAACAACTCTTGTATATATCTCAAAAAAAAAAAAAAAAAAAAATTAGTCTGCCTGACCTGAACAAAGGACTCAGAATCATATATTTTGTAAGGCATAAGAGACCTCTGTGTTCGGCTAGGTATAAGAATATAAATTTTTAAAGAATATTGGGGTGCAATTTCTGAGCCTATTACATGACGGTACCCTTTCACCCACCCTCCACAGGAAGGGCATGGGGTTTTGGAGACACATGGGGTCCGCTCTGGACATAGGTTCCAGGGGGCCAGATTCACGAAAGCACTTACGCAAGTACTTACGAACCTGTACATTTTTTCTCAGTCTTTGGCGGCTTTGTTTACAGTTATTAAACAGTTAATGAGCTCCGAAGCACCAGGGGGCTGTTTATAACAATAACAACAGCTGAATGGGAAGTTTTCATGCTTGTAAACTGTTTAATAAATGTAACCAAAGCCGTCAAAGATTGAGGAAAGATGTACACGTTCGTAAGTGCTAGCGTAAGTGTTTTCGTGAATCTGGCCCCAGGCTCGATATGGAAACAAGGATGGACACGCTCTCCAGGCCAGACAAGGACTCCAAGATGGACATGGGGGTCCCAGATGGGCCAAGATAAACTTACCCTCGTAGGGCATCTGTCCGTGAGTGACAATCTCGAAGAGAAGGATGCCGTAGGACCAAACGTCTGATTTGGAGGTGAAGTGACCGTGACTGATGGCTTCCGGGGCCGTCCACTTGTATGGGATCTTTCTCTGAGAGTTGTGTTGATAGATGTCATCCTGAGGGGAGAGAGAACACCCTCATTAGCAATGACTTTCTCTTGGTTTTGTCACTTCTTCAAAATCACAGCAAAGATTTTTCAGATTTTTAATTTGCTTATTTTAATAATTATATTGAAGGAGGATGAGTTGTAGAAGGTTATGAATATTAATTTCTCTCTCTCTCCTTACCTTAATTACCCTAGCTAGTCCAAAATCAGCGATCTTCACATTAATGCCGTCACCAACGAGGACGTTGCGAGCGGCCAGGTCTCTGTGTATAAACTTCTCAGCCTCGAGGTAGGCCATACCGGAGGCCACCTGTACACCCATCATGATGAGCTCTCTGGAGGGGTGCGGCCGCCTCTCCTCTGTTCGGGGGACACTACGTTAATTGTGGGTTAAGGGCATGCGGATGGCATCCATGTATGGGAAGTGTGGTATTATGTCGGTGTTAAATATATCAGCAGAAAATACAACAATAAATTCAATTGAAGCGAAATTGGATTAATTTAGATTCAGAAAAGGCCAAGTGATCATTGGTTTGGAAATAGGTGTTACGATTCACTAGTCCAGCTTAAGTCACCTCACCATATGAGTGTTTTTTCTGCCTGTACAGTCTTTTAGACTGGCACATATTATTTCTTTCTTGAGCAAGCAAGTAGGTAGTGCAAGATGAATACTTTTTATGCCCAGGTGTTTTTGAGTCTAGGCCTTTTATGGAATCTTCTATAATATTGAGACAAGTGCTGGTGAGAGATACAAGGATGACGTCACCGGTAGCCAATGAAAAAAGTGATGGGCAGTGACGTGGGTGACGGCGGGGCCGCCATTGGCTACAACTCCACTCAACTGTCAGGCGCTGAGAGGAGAGGCCGCGTTTCGACGTACGTTGACTTTTGCAGCTGTAATTTTACCTGCACCGGCCAGGAAGAGGCCTCACACCGCGACGAGAAAACAGAGGAAGGAGAGATGTGAGGGCAGAGGTATCCACCTCCATACACCCCAGGACGGCGTGCGAGGAGGGCCAAGGGAGCCAGTGCTGACCGCCGCCGCTGGTAAGCTTGAGAAACCAAAGAGATTCTGTCCATTGAGGGAGTTTGTAAGGTAAGCCAGTGAGAGGCATACCTCTCTGCCTGTGACTAACGCCAACACATCAAGTCAGGAGAGCTGTCTGCAGGGAGAGCCAAGTGTTACATGGGCCATGGGAGGGAGTGTCCCAACATCCAGCAGACGACCACCACAAGCCCCATGATATGCAGGTCTGGGTTTTCTTTTCTGTCCCTACTGTTGACGTTTCCCTATATTAACTGCCTCAGTGCTTTTGAGCAAGGTGTACATTGGTCCCAAGTGGTAAATACTGACCTTATTGAGTGACTTGTGTGTTGAGGTACAGGTCATAGGTGTACAAGACTGGAGTGTCAGTACCAAAGAGGAGGAGCAGCGTGCACCACTGCTGACCTCGCGCTAGTGACGCGCGCCTCTGGTCGCCGCGGCTAGATATAAGCTCGGTTGAGAGTTGCCGGACGCCACCAGGGGGATATATGGGGAGTATCCTTAAACCACATTAATATATATATATTTTTTCTGTTCATGTTTCTTGTTGTAGGGAAGGGGAAAGGAATTATCAGAGGAATGCGCCAAGTCATTACGACTGTATAGCACTTGGAAGGGGTCAGAATAAGGATTTGGGGGTGAGACTGGGGAAAGGAATGGTGTCCAACTACGTGGACCGTCGGGGATTGAACGCCGACCTGCATGAAGCCAGACCGTCGTTCTACCGTCCAACCCCAGTGGTTGTAGGGAGCATTATTTAGTTTCCGGATGATGATAGGATTGAGAGATTTTTGGTGTTTTGTTGTGGCATTACAAAGCATCTGACTGGCATCCAGCTAAATCCATCGTGACTGTTGGGCAAAGTGCGAGAAGGTTGGTCTGACACACCGCCACAGTGCAGCCTATCCGCCTAAGGTTTCCCAACGTCAAGAAACAGTAGTACTAAAGTGCCTTTGTCCTAACCCACCAGAGGACCCAAAACAGAAAACGAGACAGTATGTAAATTATGAAAGCCATTTTCTAGTACGACAAATTTTGGTCTTAGGTAAGAGTATACGTCAAAATGCGACGTTCTATTACGAGGACGGGTTGCACAGTGAGAGGTCGAGAGAGCCTAGTGGCGTGTTTATAAAGGTTATCATTGATAAAGTTATCATCCAGGTTGTTGTGCTCGAGATACATTCTGATATATTGTTATCTTGTGAACTCTTACAGTGTGTAATTTTATACAGTTTAAGAATATCAAGGTAAACTATAAAGTTAAAATGGGGTCAAGCAATGGTACACACATGACCTTACTTGGGTATAAATAGAAGCAGTCTCTCGCTTGGGCTAAAATATTCTTTGCAGTTTCCTTAATTGTTGTAATGGATGCACATGTGACCTTATACTCTCATGAGGATCACCTACGTTTTCTGTTGCGAAGGTGCTGGAGGAGGGCGCCGTTCTTGACGAGCTCTGCTACAATGAGGAGTGGTTGATCTCTGGGCGTGGTACACAGGCCGTACAGCTTCACAAGCTTGGGGTGACGCAGCTTCTGCATCACCTCCGCCTCTCTCACGAACTCCTCCAACTCCATGCAATCTGTAACAGTCGTATTATCTATATATATATATATATATATATATATATATATATATATATATATATATATATATATATATATATATATATATATATATATATATAATCTCTTTGTTTTAAACTAGACTAGGGTTCATAAGGCTGTTAACTGACGTACCTAGTGAAATTGCAAGCAAGTGCTGTTATCCTACCATAGCTCATCTGCAGCCTACCCCTAGAAACTCATTTATTTCTCTCTCTCTCTCTCACTCCCTCCCTCCCTTCTCCCCTCCCTCCCTCTAATTACCTGACTTCATCGTCTTAACAGCAACATCCGTCTCGTTGTTCCAGCGACCCAAGAACACGTCACCGAACTGGCCACTCCCCAACTTCTTATGCATCTGGATGGTGGTGCGGTCTATCTCCCATTCGTTCTGCACGCTCTTCCCTTCCTCCGCCACGTCCTTCGTCGTAGTATCAGGTAGGGAAGTACCATTTGTTTTGGTGCCCTCCGTTACGGTGACCGTTGGTTTGGTCTGGAGCGTTATGTTCCCTGGGGTTACAGGGCCTTCCGGTCCACCTCGCTGTATAGATACATTATTACAAACATTAATTATGTGTTCCATCTTCTCGTCATTGTTAACAACAGTGTGCACATTGGCTATAAACGCATATAGATAGTTCTTAAATACTGCCCCTCCATATTTCAAATCTGGGTTTTGAGGGCTTCTATAAAACACCAAGGCCCATGGGGGTTTCTAGTCTGAACTCGAATTCATAAGCTTTAAGCGCCTTACATAGATCCCCGCCCCCCCATTGGGCCGGCGGCAAACCTCTATAGCTTCTAGCTCAAGGCTCTGATCATGCCTAATTTGGTCAAATTCCTTTCAACAGTGTCTGAATGCATATGAGACATACACTCGGAGCATTAAAGCTTACAATGCATCATAAGCGACAATACCATATGTATTAGGTATTCCTGAAAGTATTTTTAAATTATCTACAATAATATATGTTTTATGATATACTATATTGGAAATCTAGAGAGGTTGTGGAATACTTGAAAGGTAGATTTGAGAGGATGATTGATGAATCAGACTTGAATATTGCAACCCTTTCTCCAGTTTAGACAGTACTTTTTGTAACTATGTGCACCATCGCACATATATTGACGTAATATATATATACCATATAATATATTTCGCGCCCGAAAATTAACATGTTGTCCCATTTTCTGTTTTGGGTCCTGTGGTAGGTTAGGATAAGGGCACTCTAGTACGACAGTTTCTCAACGTTGGGAAACCTTAGGAGGACGGGCTGGTTCATGTGTACTCTGTGGAGGCATCTGTATCGACCTGTCCTGAACTAGCAAGCCAAAATACTTATTTTAGTTAGCCTTAATGAACTGTGGGTGATATTCACGGTCCTCGGCAGTTCCTTCCCGTTTTCTCTACTCCCATGTTCTAGGTATCAGCCCAACCCGTCCTCCTTATAGCACGTTGCATTTTGATGTTGGGAAACATTAGGAGGACGGGCTGGCTGATGAGCCCGTTCTTGCCAGCGTTCCCGACCTCAAAGAACTGTCGTACTAAAGTGCCTTATCCTATCCTACAAGAGGACCCACGAACAGAAAATGGGAAATTATGTAAATTACGCGGGCCGCTACCATGTTCTTGCACGGCAGTTTTTGGTCTTAGGTAAAGTGTACGTCAAAATGCGACGTACTGCTAGACGGACGGGTTGCGCGAACAATGTAAGTGAAATGTGTTAGCCTATTGCAGACTAGTCACTGGAAAATTCCACTAACGTAACGAGAGATTATATGGGCCTTGTAGTACAGTGGTCTACGCCCTTAACTCACAACGGATGATCCAGTGTTCAATCGCACAGGCGGGACAGAAGTGATTGGGCAACTTATCCGTTCACCTGGTGCTTCTCTTCACCTAGCAGTGAAATAGATACCCGCGAGTTAGGCAACAGACACGGGTTGCATCTTGAGGAGGGTGAGTAGTTAACATAAGATGGGGAGACCTGTGGAGAAGCTCCGTGTCCCCGCCAGGAACTATACCGGCACCTTGCATGGGTGAGTGAGGCGGAGACAGAGGCCGGTGTTCTCCTGGTAGTACTCCACCAGCTCCTTGAGGGAGCCGAAGGACTTCTCGGTGGATATGAAGTAGATCCTCTTCCCCATCGACGCCTCCTCCCGCACCCTGTAGTGCTTCACCAAGCCCGAAAATAACACTGAAAATAAATTAGAACACATATTAAAGAATTAATAATATAACAAGCTGGGATTTTATTTGTTTAAATGGGGGAGTTTGGTCAATGGAAGGACAAGTGTCTCGCGTCTTCCCTCCGTGCTACGGTTTCCTGGAGGTGGTCTATCACTTCATTATCTCGGGGATTTATCTGAGAGAGGGGGGGGGTAACTCTTCTCAGTACCATCCACTTGAGAAGTGTTTCCATCCAATAATTAGCTCACCTGAGAGGGATATTAAACCTTATAATTATCGCCTGTGAGGAAGAGTATGACCTCATAACTGCCTCACCTGAGAGGGAGAACCCGACGTCGCTTTCAGAGTTGCGGATCAAGAAGGCGCCGCTGGCGTTGAGAGGCTTCAGCAGTAGCGCCTGAGTCTCCTCCCGTGAGAGTTTCCCGAAGTACCACCTGTGAGAGACCTCTGGTTACAGTCAGTGGGATAACTATCTGAGATACTGGGAAGCCCTCCCTACACCAAGAGACCCTTAGACACAGGAAGTAAACACGAACATAATCTGACACTCACGGTTGATCGCTGTAATCCTCTACTTTAACGATGTAGTTGGTGGGAACGTATCCTTCTGTGGCGGTTCTGCCTCTCGTCACCTTGACGTATGACCAGTGGCTGTCCGGCTGGTGCAGGAGCTCCAGCACCTCGCTCCTCCGGACAGTGATGCCATCGGTGTCAATCGCCTCGAAGTCGTAGAGAACGATGTACTTATCAGGTTTAGCGACGGGTGTGATGGCGGGTAGTGGCTGGGCGTACGTTTCCCCTCCTGGCGAGGCTGTGGACGCAGAGTAAGAGGCTGGTGTCAGAGATTGACTCCACTTAGAGTTATTGGAGCTTATGGAAGTGAGAAGTTTTTGACATTAAAGAAGATATTCAAGAAAACCTAGGGCTTAGAGCTTATCAAATGAATCAAATTTATCAGTGGCTATTTTTACTTTGAACTATGGGTTTATAATACAATACAGTTATAACGAGCATATTCTCTGTTTAGGACAAAGGTTCACTTACCTGTTTAAAAATACACTATTATTGGGACCTTAATATGTGTTCAAACTATCACAATATGAGTATTTAATGATTGAGTTTATTGGGCAATTATCATAGATAATTTTTTTATTAAAATGTATACATAAAGATTCTTTATTTTCTTATTTAATTCATTATACATATCACACTAAACCGAATGTATATTTGTACTTCTGTAATAATACGTAATAAACTGCACTAACCTGAATTTTCTGCAAGACTGAAATGGGAAAAAAGTTATATTAGATATTTAGAAAAAAACATAATTACTCTGTGTGTGTGTACTCGCCTAGTTGTGCTTGTGGGGGTTGAGCTTTGGCTCTTTGGTCCCACCTCTTTACTGTCAATTAACTGTTGGACATATTTTTGAGTCTATTGCGCTCTATCATATCTACATTTGAAACTGTGTATGGAGTCAGCCTCCACCACATCACAGCCTAATGCATTCCATTTGTTAACTACTCTGACACTGAAAAAAATTCTGTCTAATGTCTCTGTGGCTCATTTGGGTACTTAGTTTCCACCTGTGTCCCCTTGTGCGTGTTCCACCCGTGCAAAATAGTTTGTCTTTGTCCACCCTGTCAATTCCTGTAAATTGGCACTACGTCTGTCGTCTTCCTGCAGCTGGGCAATTAATGTGTTTATTTATTATATTTGTGCTTGCAGAATCGAGCTATTAGCTCTTGCACCCTGCCTTTTTAACTGATCTATTTTTCCTTATTAGATCTACTACATTTATTTCTAACACACACACACTAATACCCAGAAAGCAGCCCACAGCATCGGTCTAACTCCCAGGTATCTATTTACTGGTAGATGAACAGAAGCATCAGGTGAAAGAAACTCTGCCCATTTGTTTCTACCTCTGTCGAGGATCGAATCCGGGCCCTTAGGACTACAACCCTTGGACGCTGTCTACTTAGCCGAGAGGCCCCGTGTGTGTGTGTGTGTACTCACCTAGTTAAACTTCCAGGATCAAGCATTTGCTTGTTTTCTTACAAGGTTGCGAGCAGCCGCGTCCAACAGCCTGGTTGACCAGTCTAGCAACGAGGAGGCCTGGGCGATGACCGGGCCGCGAGGACGCTAAGCCCCGAAACCAACACAAGGTAACCACAAGGTAAGATATGGTAATGGATTTGCTGTGAGGACGGGCTCATAGCTCAGTCCCCTTAGCTCAGGAACGAGACTTGTTGCTTATTGTTGGACCTATTCTATTTTTTTTTGTACTTCTTTAGGTAGGGGTTCCATGCTGGGGCAGCATATCATGCAACGGAGACGCTAAGCCCCGAAATCATCTCAAGATAGCCTCAAGAAGATGGCATACCCAACAGGTCTTCCGCGCACCCATCCCACACACAGCTCCCAGGTACCCTGCACACACCTCTCCCTTCCATCCTTCCCACACACACAATTTTCCTTTGCCACCCTTCCAACACACATACACAATTCCCTCCTTCCCTTCCCACACACAATTTCCCCCTTCCTCCCATCCCACACTCACAGCTCCCCCTCTCATTCCCTTCCTACATATACCCGCCCTTTCCCACCTTCCTACGCACCTCCTACCCCACACCCACACCCACAAAACTCACACCACCCAACATACTATTTCTTGATAAAGTTGGAAGGGACGTAGCCGGTGGTTCCAGTGCGGGTGTTGGCGGCCATCCACCAGCCGTCGCCCTCCTCCGCCAGGATCTCCAGCACGTCCCCCTCGTTGATGGAGAGGTCGCCCTCCCTCGTCGCCTTGTACGAGTACAGCGCCTCGTACACCTCTGGCGCTGGAGGCACGGGCGACAGTATATCACTACTTGTAACTAGTAGTGATAGCATTGTTATTATTAGCAGTAGTAGTAATATTTATACATGCTGCAACACGGTATTGATAATTCATCCACATCAAAATGTGTTCAGAGATATGTCTTACCTCCTTTGCTCTTCCTTATATTCTTGATTTTCTTGAGCATGTTGGCGATGGGGATGATTGACGGGTGTAGGAGCGTGAGTGTGTAGTACAGGAGTACACACGCCCCCTCTCAGTTACCCCCTCACAACCACCTTCATCTGACATAAGCACCATCCATCCTCAACTTTCAGCATCAGTAACCTAGCAACCGGCTTTTGATATAAAAATAATATGTTTTTGTATATTGATATAAATTGTTTATAAACGGGAATTATTTAACAATGATTTTATCCGAGACGTAATTAGTAAACAAAACAGCTCGGAGGCGCTTCACAGATGGTTGGTGGTGATAGCAAAACAAAACATTTTCATATTTATACAAAATAGTCAAATTTTAATTAAATAATATGTCAAGAAACAAACAATGAATGAGAACACAATTTGCATATTTATAAATAATAGTAAAACATATCAGCAATTAGATTAATAGATTGAACATAATTGATTATGGTTGAACAGAACACAAATTGTTGATGGTGATGTAATGAAACAACATTTCTTTGCAGAACAATAACAACAACAGACTTTCTTTGCAGAAAGAAGATACTTTTCCTATTTAAAAGGTAAGATATAACACAGACAAGGAGCTACGGCTTCAAGCTCAACAAGGCACAATGCAGGACTGAAAACAAAAGATGTGTTTTTCACCCTTATGAGTATAAACCCATGGAACCTCCCGTCGAAGCCGTAAAAGCCAAGACATTACATCAGTTTAAAATACAGATAGAAAAAAAGTCCTCAGAAACAATGGTGACGGGGAGGGGAGGAGACCTTTGACAAGCCGGCGGCTTTCTGTCCCCATCGAGGCCACTAGAGATGGTGGCCGTCAAGTAAATACAGATGAATTCTCCCAGCTAGACAGAGAGCAAACAACTTCACTATCACCTGGGCTAAAGTCAACACACCAGGTGGCCACAAAACATGCTATACAACGAAGAACTTGGTGAGAAAGAGAGCTAAGGGTAACAACAGAATATAGCACAGGTCCAATGGCAGACTGAGTCAGGTGAGCGCTGGGGGGGGGGGCGGACATTATCTCCCGCCTCGAGGCTAGACACGACCTGACCATGTCTACCAGTAATCAATGCTAGTATCCTCACTCCAATACGTCTACAATCTCACTGAGTTTTGTTTAACTTGTTTTGTTTTGTTGGCTAACCAAAACCATTGAGACTTGTAAATGGTCTGGTCCCCACGTGCAAAAACACTCAAGAATTTTCCATTAAGTTTGTTTGACAAGATTATCGTGATTAATATCGTCTACTTGAAACAAGCTGACTAGGATCTAGCCAGGAAATATTTCAATTAACTCTGCAAGACGATCCAGAGGTCACCTGGGCTGACCTTGGGAGGAGGCTTCCCTGGGTGTAAACTCTCGAGATGGGAGGGGATGATGGCTGTTACATTTTGAACAGAGGAATACTCAGTTGTGTATACTGGACAGAGGAATGTTCAGTGATAGATATTGATCAGAGGGATACTCAGTGATGTATACCTAACATAGGGACACTCAATTGTGTATACCAAACATATGGACTCCCAGTTGTGTATACCTAATATAGGGACACTCAGTAGTGTAACTGATGTATACCAGTGGTATGCTGTATACTCACACAGCAGAGGTAGCGTGAGAATGTGAGCTGTTCTGCTGCACCTTCCAGGCTCCAGGACACAACGCAACTCTCTCACTTACAGCAGTTGCTGCCCCGCACTGTGGCATGAACGCACACTCAAGATCACCAACTTATCTTATCTTGTGATAGTGGAGGTATCAGTGCCCTTATTACGACCAGAGATAGCAACTACAGGTTAGCGTTCACTGCAGCCGCGATATATCATGTCTATTGATGCTAAATAGTGAGTTTTTTTTCTTAGTTTAGTTTATTTGATCGTAAATGGGGGTTTTCTCCTTGTTTGTTGTTTACCAAATATTATTACCAAATATTGTTTACCAAATATATATATATATATATATATATATATATATATATATATATATATATATATATATATATATATATATATATATATATATATATATATATATTATATATATATATATATATATATATATTAGGATAACTATGTGAAGCACCTGGTGGCAAAAAGCTTGTTGAAGAGACAAGTGGCTTTTTTATATTCCTTGTATTATACTGGTTTCTAAATTTACGGTGTTTTCATCTTCCAATAACTAATATATTACAGAAGGTGAGTTCAATTAGAGGGACGAGAGAGACCTCTGGTGGACACGAGCCATAACACACACCAACGGGGTGTTCGTAGCAAATTATTTGCTAATGGCATCTTTACGTTCGATTTCATAATTATTTCCAGAGATGCAATAATTTTCCATCAATCCCACGTCGTTTGAGCCTACACAACCAAATTGTTTGTTATTAAGTTTAATTATTTTTCCAAAGTGGCTGTATAGTCTCCACAAGATGTTTTGTCAAAGATCTTATCAATAACTGTTAGCAAGGTTTTTAGTCTATAGTTCACTGCTGTTGTATTACTTCTCTTTTTGTGATGATCTACTGCCGTAGCTTTTTCCAGATACAAGGATAAGTTTGCTGATCATTCTCTCCGCACGATGTCTCTGTTCACCAAATAGTAAATAGGTACTTCAGAATTAGTCAAGTGTGGTGGGTTACATTTAGGGGAATGATCAGTCGTTGGCTAGGAGGACTAATACCTGTCTTTTACCAACAGCACCTGAGAAAATGATCACGACTCTAGTAGCTGTACAGATGTTTGACCATCTGCTCCCACATCCTTTTGGACTACTATATAAGATGCGATGAAGATCAACGACATGCCTGAGCACCGCTTAAAACCTCGGCCAACCTAAGGCAAGAAACTCTGTTCTTCTTTATGCCCGACTCAACCTAAAAGTTGAGTCGACTCGTCGCCCCTAAATCACCAACAACAACAAATGAAGGGGACACATGGGGTCGTTGAGAACAGGTATATGGGTCGGATAATGACATACAAAATATGGAATACCAGATGCACAAATGAATCACGGCGACTGCTAGGGACAACGCATTCACAAATCACCTAATTGTATTTGAGCGGATAGCTTTCTGGTAAATGGCGTCTCTTAAGTCATTTCACACGGTTTCATCTTGGCCTATAACTCAAATACGGTACAACTAAACTTCAGTCTTCCTTGTAAATCAACATCTTCAAAGTTCCTAAAATTGATTCCCTTTATTTTCCAGTGCTCTTGTTTTTGTTCGCATTTTCAGTATTCCGTATTTTCTTTACTTCATTTTCAAACGCTTCCAACCGATCCCACTGCAATTCAATTCAATTCAATTTATGCCGCTGCGAGATTAAAAATTTCATTAGAGATTTAATAAGTTTAACAGCTGAATGAAGTGCCAATCACTTCAAAATAATATTGAAGTGATTTGCTGACTTTATTAAACCTCTCGAGTATGACAGCTCAGTATTCTGCTAGCAAAAGTTTAAAAATCTGATAGCTGTATGAGTATAGTGTTCGCTTTATAACGTGTGTCAGCCTCAGATTTTTATCTTTTGAGATTAACTTCATAGATTCTTGTGAATACTTGTAGCCAATAATATGCCAATTGCAGCAGATCTTCTGGCAGAGACCCGTGACTGCAGCTTCTAAAGCCCATTCCTTAATCCGACCCTGTTTGTACAAGCTTGCTGTCCACAACAACGGAGATTAAACCATAAGGTGAATCATACAATTCTGCTACCACATTATATTTTCTTTAGTTCCCCCATTCCAACCGACGCCTTTTCAAAGAAAATCAAACGATTGAACCGGTGAATTAGCTTACTAAAGAAAACCAATAAGCAAATGATAACTACCTTATTCTGGCGGCAGTTGCAATGATTTTTAAGTTATAAGGTGAATTATAAGTGAACCTAAAGTATTAAAACTAGTTTACTATATTTATTAAAGCTAGTTTTCTTTACTGAGGAATATATTGGCTGAGGTGTCCACATGGTTGTGTCTATGAGGTTGTTTTCCTGTGCTTGTGTCCAAAGGAGTTATGTCCATGGGGCTGTTTTGTCCATGTGGTTGAGTCCATGTTGTCATACCCATACTGCTTCCACGCATCTTGGAGATGGGCCTATCACATCACGGTGCGTCATTAAATAACCGAGAAGCATTTATGGAGATAGTGGCTCCTCAGGTATATTCACATAAATGATAAAGAATCCTTACTTGGTCATCCATCTTCCCACTGGATATAATATTAACCTAATTGACCAAGCAACGCGAACATTGTCCATAATGCAATAAACATTACCCATAATTCAATGCAGATGGATGTAAGTAAAATTATATTGAATTTTGGTTAAACGAAAGTGGGGAAAAAAGATTGTTTATGCAATACAAATTACAGTGGACAACTTTCTTTGAAAGTAATAGAAATATAATCATAGAAAACATTATATAGAGATGTGTGCCAAGAGTAACTATTATATTATTTAATATTCTGAATGGAATGGTAATGATGGGAGGTGAACAATATTTTACAGCTTTCTTCGCCTGGACAATTGGGGATCCTCCCTAATCTCCGTTTCACCCTAGAAATGAGTGAAACAGCATTGAACTTTTTGGACACACAAGTTTATCTCGACAAACACATTATGGTTCAAACAACAATCTTTTTACAAATTAACGAATAAGCATTCATAATACCTCCAATACTCATCAATCCACCCACTACCATTAAAATGATCTCTGTCATTCTCCCTGCGAATGCGACTGAAACGTATAGTCAGCGCTGGGGCCTGACGGCTGAGTGGACAGCGCCCGGCATTCCTAGTCCTAAGGGTCCGGGTTCGATTCCCGGCGGAGGCGGAAACAAATGGGCAGAGTGGGGAGACACTAGGGGTGGGGGGACCTTAGGCGTCTTGGGGATTTTTTACAGACACGGAGGATTTTACCTTGATCAAATCCTACAAGATGCATATAGAAAGTTAGCACAATGAACCAGATCTTCATTACTACATTACAGGCTATTCACGCCAGTGCCACCTCGTGGGTGGCTTAGTCGTCGTCAGTCATTACCACAGCAGAGGGAACAACAGCCAGCGAATGAAAGGCTAATCCTCCCGTCCCTCTATTTTCTAGGAATAACTCATTAACTCCAGGAATAACTCCGGCCGCGCCCAAGAGAACTCATTAACCTCTGGGCACATCTAACGAGTCTGCACTGAAATCACCCAGCGTGGAAGAAATTCCCACAAGAAATACCCATATTAGCTTGGACACGAGGTAAATCCTTACTTGACATCTTGGTAAAAGAAAAATTTCCCTAGCAAACCCACACACCGCAGGACCAAGGAGGCTCTCCAATATAACGAGTCTGTACTCCCCTTCATATAATCTAGGGTAGCTGTACAAATACACATGTGCCTAAATGTATTAATAAAATGCATTACTTGGTTGTTAAACTATTTGGCGAGTCGTATTCCAGGGGAAAATTACGATTAAGGACCTTCCCGAAACGCTGTGTGCTAGTGGCTGTACAGGAATGTAAGAAGTCTCTCTCTCTCTCTTATATATATATATATATATATATATATATATATATATATAGAGAGAGAGAGAGAGAGAGAGAGAGAGAGAGAGAGAGAGAGAGAGAGAGAGAGAGAGAGAGAGAGAGAGAGAGAGAGAGAGAGAGAGAGAGAGAGAGAGAGAAGGGGGGATGAGAAGGAGGATGTTGGAAGGAGGGAACTTGGAGAGGGTGGGAGAGGAAAGAGGGTGGAAAGGGAAATAGAGGGACAGAGAGGAGGGGGAAGAGGGGGAGGAGTAGAGAGGAGGTGGAGAAGAGGGATGAGGGGAAAGGGGTTAAAAAATGGAAAGGGAGAAATGAGGTAGGGAGGAAAGTGGGAGATGAAAGGAGGAGGAAGAACCGTAGAGGAGAAAGGGAAGAGAAGGTAAGGAGAGACAGACATATCCGGGTCATCGCTGAATGCCCCCTTCTAGTATATACTGTACTAGGTCTCCTTGTGGGACTGCATATATAAAAGAATAATCACTAGAAATACATAAACAGAGAAATGGGTAAATATTTTAGAAATAAAAAAGCCAAAATGTTAGTGTGTTGCGGTGTTGATATTAACATATGTGGGTGTATATGTATGGCCATAATCAATACGGGCCGCCTCACCCTAGCCTAGTCCAGGTGGCGGGGGAGGGAGGTCTGCTTCACCTCTTATTGTTACAAAGTTACTCATTTGTCTCTGTTATTATCAAAGATGTATTCACTGACAGAAGTCTCACTAGTGCCACATCAACGAAGCCGTTGGAACCTAATACCAAAATAATATATACGCTGGAACCTAATAGGAGGAGAAGTCATTCAAAACAATGACTTCTCTTCCTCTTTACTCTTGCTTCTATGTGGAGAATATGTCCTCAGGTGTAACAAAGCTTGATATGTTCTGGGTTTTGCTATTGAAAAATTATACTTTTAGACGCGTAATTGACAACTAGATATTGCAAATGAAGTCATCCTGCAACAGGCCCTTAGACTCTAAAACTAGAGAATATTTATAGCGAATTTTTAATCAAGTAATAGCGGTAAACCTTGCAGTTATTTCACTGTAGGTAATTAGTTAACGATTTAAATATGATAAAGAGTAAGTTTTAGCTTAATTAGTTTGCTATGGACCCAGTACCCATCCTGTTGGATGGGTACTGAAATTGAATTGAAATTGAAATTGAAATAAGTTTATTGAGGTAAAATACACACAAAGGGATGAGGTAGCTCCAGCT